ATTATATTATTTTTGTCACTCACTATTTGGGGTGTTTTTTAGGAGTGAAATTTTACAGATCACATGTAATTTATAAATAATAATTTATGTATAGTATAATTTATCTATAAGTTATCGCCTAAGTTTTTTGTATTTTTAATAAATATTTTGTTATTTTAATTAAATTTTTTTAAATCAAATTTTGATCAGTTTTATTTATACATTTTATGAATATTTTATGTATGTTTATTTTGAATTTGCACCTTGAATAACATATCAGTTACTTTTCATGTTGGTGATATATTAAAAATTTAGATAATTATTAAAATATAAACATATTGGAATGTCTTTTTTGGAACTTGGCCAGATCTTATCATTTATGAATTTTTGTGCTATTAGTTGTTTTCGCTAAACTAATTTTTTACATTTTGTTGTCTTGACCAAACAATTTAGTTGTTAAATTTTATTTGCTAGAACTAAATATTTTGTTTGAGTAATTCAATAGCGTTTTATTCATCATTAATATAAGATTACAACACGGATCGCAACATTACATATTTCCAGAACATTTGATTTTGTTACTTTGAGAAAATTTCTTAAAGTTTATTATCATTAAAACCGTACAAAAAACTTTGCTGGTTATCTGATAGAATATTTTATCAGTGTGGATATAATATGTCGAACTGCGAGGCCAGCTTTATTTTTTTGTGAGAATTACTAAGTTTCGAGATATAACAAATAAAAAGTGCAATTGTATTACATACACAATTTCAGAAGTGTTAAAGATTAAACTTGCCTTTGAATTGGATTTGAGTGCAAAATGAACAAGAACGTCATTGTAAATACGCTAAAAGAATGAAGCCTCGAAAAGTGGTCATCCAAATTTATTAAAACGTTAAATCGTTAAAGATTAATCAAAATTATTCCACATAATATAACCTTATAACTTATAATGTATATATTAATAATTAATCAAATATTCAATGTACATATTATATCTGTCTTTCAAATGCCTATAACGTAAAAGTTGTACATATGAAGGTTTTGCCCATTGAATTTGTTTTATTAGAAACACAAGAATTATAACTTAAAAAATTTAGACAATTTGATCAAACTTAGTTTTCCTATAAAATAAATAATTAAATATTAAAAAGACTACAAATAAAATTAAAAAATGCAGTAAAAAAGTTAAGAGCTAAAGTTGGGTTTGTACCAAAATATAAATGACTTTTGTTCACATTGTACGTTTCGGCCCGTTATCAGACCATCGTCAGTAAATAATAATTTCAAAATGTGATATGACACTTTAAAAAACATTAATCTACTGTCATTCGTTAAAAAATTACAAATAAGCGCAATTATAAACTAAGAAAAATTATAACTGAATCTTCTTCTGCGTAAATTAATGTGAATTAAAATTATATAGTAGACGCTATTATAAACTAAACAATAATCATAATCGAGTCTTCTCTGTGTAAATTAATGTGTGTCACTTGATAAAACTGTAATATTAAGCGCAAATTAGTCTCGAAAACTAATTAACTTTACTTAATTAATTGAGTTATAGCTATTTGAAAGTTGCTTTGCTTTTTGATGAAAAACAAATAATTCCCTAATTTTGTAAGGAGTATATTTTTAAACTTTCTGTTGCATAAACACAAAATGCTATTTTTATATACTTTGCGTACTCTTTTAGTTTTGTAAGATCTTTTGTTGGTATATTCTATGTAGAGTTAAAGAAAAAATTTGTTAAATTTGATACCTTGTAAAGGATAACTTGTGTGAATGTCATACATCGGACATCTTTGAATACTTTTCTTATGTCGCATTCTTCCATCCTCAGGCTCGGACCCACTGAGACAACTAGACGAATTATAATTATCCTCTCCCGCTACTCTGTTGAAGGTATTTTTCTTTGTAAGCTGATGCTTTTTTTTCTTGTCAGTTGAGTGACGTAATTCAAATACTTTAGCATCACCCAAGGTCATTTGCATGGCAATTCGTGCGGAGGTCGAGTCTATAAATTCAATCACGGCATACTCTTCGTTGGCAGACAATTCTGGTCTTCTGGAGATTGCTTGTCGTACCTAAGTAAAAATGGTTAAAATTGTATTTTTTATAAAAAAAAGATTAACAAAAAAGACCACAAAAACTAAAGCGCGAAGGCGACAAAAAATTTTATTATCAATACAAAGTAGTGTGATATTAATACAGATATACATAGATACAGAAACGTTTCAGCCCAATTTTGGACCTTCGTCCTTTAACAAAGTTTTTTAAACTTGGTTAATATATATTATTCATGCTAGAAAATCCGAACCACTTGAAAATATTATTTTACATGTTTTAAAGATATAATAGTTTCAAAAATTGCTGACGGATATTAAATTGATCTTTGATTATAATTTGAATAGAAGGTTTTTTTTCTTTTTTCTTATTATTTTGTTTTGTATATCCGGAATCACAATACTTGATAATAATTATGTTTGTTGTTATCTTATGAACTAATTAATCGATCTGCTTTCAATATTATATGTGTAATTATAATATGTACTTTCACTTGTACGTGTATTTTACTCACAATTAGCTGATTAATTTAATTCAACATTTATATAGTATATAGGGTGTTATGTAACTGGTGGTACAAGCGGGAATTTTATTCTATATTTTCGATTTAGTTTTTCATGTAGAATTAAGGCACTATAAACGTGAGTATTTTCACATCTGCGCCATTTTTGCTCCATTCCCCCACTCCTTGCCCTCTCGCCCTTTTAGCTTCTTAGCTCGCCCTCGCTGAGCTAAGAAGTTTATGGTGATTAGGTGAGAGGGCAAGGAGTGGGGGAATGGAGCGAAAATGGCGCAGACATGAGAATACCTACATCTTTAGTGCTCTAGTAGAATCACCACCTTCCCGCTTGTACTACCAGTTACATGACACACTGTATAATGCCTCTTTTACAAATGCACTTTGCTAATTTTTATAATGCTGATAAAGACTTGTGATGAGACGAAATGGATATCACAATAAATAATTTAATCTTTTGCGCTTCAACAACTGCGCAGGAGTTTTCATTTGCTTTATATGTAATTTTAATTTTGTTATTAAGAACCACATCTTTTTTGATTATTTTTTTGTTGTAAAAACAGATTTTTATAATTTCTGTATTTATAACTATATTTATAAATTGTATTTATAAATTATTTAAATTTATAATTCTGTATTTATAACTTCTGTATTTTTATAACTTCTATAATTTATGATAGATGTATATATTTGATATCTTCTTTATCTTTTTTTTAATAATATGATATATTCTACATAAGTTGTGTTTGAATGGCAAAAAGAGAATTATAATTCTTTTTATATTTGCTGTTTGAAAATTTTGAATTTATAATAATGTTGTCGTTAATACAAAATACATGTATACTGAGAAAAATGTTCTGTATGATTCAACAAACTGCCTATTCGATTTTCGATGAAACAAATAGATTCCGATTGAATTTACTAGAGTTCTCATTAATACAATAAGATTTTGGTAGATTCAACTAGAATCTAATAGATTCAACAATCTATTTAATTACAAATCAAACCAGATTCTGGTTGAATCTATTTTCGAAAAAGTGTTACTTAACACAGTATACCTCTGAGGTGTTTACATATAATTAGTTAAGTAATGCTTAATGTAAAATAACTGCTCTTGAAAAAATATATTCATGATAGAATATCAATAGTTAACTTTTATGAAGAGAACAAAATTTTTTTACACTTAAGTATAATGATAAAGTTTTATATTTTTGCATAACTAAATACATTTACTAAATGTAATACTTAGTATTTTTTCAAAACGTATAATTATTTATTTTATATATTCAAATAGTTATTCTAATAAATTTCATGAATTTCAATATAATTATATATGCCTTTTATAGATTTCAAATAATTTAGATATTTATATATACAAAGAAAAAATAAAAAAATTAGACTCTGATTTTGAAATTAATTGAAAATATCCTTTTACTTTTTTATTTTTTCTCGTATCATCTAAAGTTGAAATTTAAGATATAAGATAAAGAGATTAAAAACAGAAAAAGATAAAAATTTTCTTTCTTTACTTTTAACAATGTCGGAAAAAATTAGTAGAATTAATTAGTTAGTTATTTCATATAAGACGTGCTATAAAAAAATTTGAAATTATTGCTCTTTTTCTCAATGAAATAGAGGTGTACTTATTATTAATTTACTTTAGCATCCAATTTTTCATACCAAGAATATAAGCAATAATATTCTTTTTACATCTTAAATTTTAACTTTTATATTAATGTTTTTATATTACTCTCAAATAAAAAATTCTATTAAAATAGATAGACATTTGGATGCATTTTTGTTCCATAATTACAGCATGTATCTTAAAAAATTGTAGCATATTTATTCAAAGGTCCGCACTGGACATTAATTTTGTCGACATATTATGGTCACAATGAAATACTGTAGTTATGCACAATAAATGTTACAATCATGCATAACATATGTCGCCAAATAAAGTTCATCTAGAAATATGACAACATTTAGCAGCATTTAATTGCGATTAAGAGTGATTATCATCGCATGTTGTTACAATTACATCATTATATGTTCTCATTTAATGTTCAGCATATCTGTCTATTTGAGATAATCCTTAAAATCCTTATAAAGTAAATAAATAAATATTTTATTATTTTATTATAATTTTTTCGAATATTTCAACAAGCTTTCATAGAGTTTCCACATTTTCAATTATACAAAACAAAAAATTTGTTAACATGTCAATATTGCAGTATCAAATTAATTGCATGATAAATAACTAAACAAAAGTGTAAAATTTTTTATTACTGCATATGTTATAAATGAAATCAATTATATCTTTCTACATATTACCTTTCAATTATAATCTTGCCAGTTGATTTTGAATCTATGTAATTTATGCATATTAAATGAGTGAGATTACAACATGATAAAAATTTTTAATTTTTGTTTTAAAAGAAGTATAGAAAATGTCAAAGTTGTTAAATAAATATTTGTAAACAAATTAACTATTAATTTAACCTTGATAGATAACAACTGTGATGTGAGAATTAACTAGAATAATCGCTGAGTAATCGTTACTGCAATGGAAACCTTGCTAATTAAACTCTCACGAATTAAATATAGCTTGTTAGAACATAGGTAATAATGAACGTAAAACTGCAATTCATACAATGATTACAGCATAACGGCTTTAATGCATTTTTTGCATGGTATAATGCAATTACAGGAAAATTTGGTGAGTAAGGATTAAATCACAAATAAGCATTAATCAAACTATCAACTATCATCAACAGATTTGTGCAATGTTCTAGACCAGAGCTCGGAATTACACATCTCGAGCCGATTCCCGAGACGACGCCTCTTGTTCCCTCACTACCGCCCGGCCGCTG